AGTAAACAGATCACAGTGCTGTGTATGGAAGGAGAGCCCACTCTGATGTTTTCTCATGTTAGTATATTTGGCAGATTACAATATCTTTAGGCCTGCATGTGTCATGATTCTGGGAATTTAGTGTTTGTGTATAGTACACAACATAGTAGTAAATAACATTTGTCAGCATTTAATGTCATTTATATAGGTTTTAGCAGCATGTTTACAATGATACAATGATAAATAATTTTTCTCATGTGTGCCCTCTTGTGTATTTAGGATATTACCAATAATGGGAAATATTGGAATTGGGTCAAATGTAAAGTTAAATGAGCTCAACCAAAAATATTTCCTTATTAGTTTCTGAGTCAGGAATGTTTTACTCCTCCACCTAGACATTTACTGCTACCAGTGATCCATTGTGCAGAGACCTCCCCTGACTAAAGCCTGGTGTCTTTGACCCCCCCAATGATTTCTATACAGAAATACATAGAGGACACCCTTCAGAGAGGGCAACTGGGTAGTGTGGAGATCTTCCTCCTGGAGCCATGGACAGTATTAAATAGCCGAATGAATAATAAAGACCAGATCCTGCTTCATTCTGTCATACGTGTGAAAAAAAGCTCAGTAGATTTGGACAGACTTTCATCATTCACAACCTAGGCAGCAGCATAAGGCATGGTGGATGTCCTGGGGGCCCAATTACAGCTGTCATGCTCCTGCATTAAACCAGGAGGATTACAAAATTGGTCAAAGCTGTTCACCTACCTGACTCTTTCCAAGGGAGGATGCAGTTGTACGCAGCTGATGTCTGATGCAACCATGCAAGTATAGACAGTGAAAATGGGATGGCTTTGTTGTGCCTACTGCAGTCTTTCAATTGCTGTCAATTGAAGTGATGGGCACTTTTAAAGAGTTTTGCAGTGGAAGTTGGAAATTCCTGTTATTTGAATATGTGTTTTAAATCTACAGAGCAGAATTTGTTGTCATTTTAGTGTCTTTCCCGACTTTAATAGTGGTACAGTAGAAAGGCATCATGGCACACTCACAAACCAGCATGTAAAACAACTTGTCTCACCACTAAGGACAATGACAGAGGTTTGGATACACGTCTTCTGCAAAGGATGTGTAAGCCGCACTGCCGCGCCAAGGCACCTCTTATAGTGCGGTCCTAACTCTAAACTATGAGAGTCTCCATCTTGGAGCACATGGGGGCAGAAGATATCAAATTGGGTGCAGGCCTGTCAGGAGGACGCCCCACCTCCTTAAAGGTACAGAGACACACAAGGGATCCCGCACATCCCATTGGCAGCTGAGAAACCCCATGCGTCGTTTGTTTTGCTTTCCCGACTTTAAGGCACAAGTTTAATACATTTCCTTTAATGCATTTGCAGATATATTCTTAAGTTGGGTAAACCCATCGTCACACTGTAAAAGGTATCCTGCAAGAATAAGTTGTAAGAACGGTGTAATGATATCAGGGGGAGGAAGTATATCTGTGGTCACACAGAAAGTCATGATGGCTTCATCTCTGACATCTTTTAGGGCCTATGTCAGTTTGACATTGGTATGAGACCTTTTTGAGAGCTGCATTTGACCTGCGTTTCACCTCCTTCTAACCGGCATTTCACCTGCTTCAAGCAAGTTTTGCATTACCTTACTGTGAGGAAATGGTGCCTCCATTTTGTTGACAGTCTCCTATTAAACCATGTAAATCACATTGTGGGCTGCACAGCAGATGTAGATAGACATTGCAATCAGTGAAGTCTGTGGTACACACAGAAGTATTCCTCTATTTGTAATTCCACAGGAACCTATGAAGATTGTCAGTAAAGGAGAGAAAAGCACAGCAAAAATAGATGGGGGGGAAATGTGAAAGAAATTTGATCAGTTCAAAAATATAGATTTGATATATTTTTGCATTATTGTTTGTAAATGTATACAGGAAAAATGTCACACCTATGTTACAGCTTTCTATAGCCATGTTTTGAGAGGATAAGAACCCTGAATAATAATTAAGTAATTAAAATAGTTCCTGGTGAAGTGAAAACTCTTAAATATGCACCCTTACCTTTTTTCTTTTTGTAGCGTTGTTAAATACAACAGTAATTATGTATATGGGGTTGTACACTGGAGCTTATGATGGTCTCATTATATGGAGACTCATGGAGTCTGAGAGATCGAGAATAGAGATGAGGCTGGGCTTGGTGTGTACCCGGTTCACCTGAGTTTTCCCAAGCCTATTCAAAACTGTGACAGTTAGTCCCCCATGCCGGCCCAATACATGGTGGCAGTTGTGGAGGGGGCATTCCCTGACCCTTTGTGACGCAGGGTCGGGAATGCTCCTCTTCGGAACTGATTGGACCGGGACGGGGATTGGGTTTGTTGTTGTGGCAGTCACAGTTTTGATTGGGCTTGACCAAGGTTCACACCAAGCCCAGGCTCGTCACTAGTGAGCACACAATGGAGGTGTTGCAGGTTTTGGTCATCTTCTGGTCATAAGATGATGTGTGCCTTTTGTTGAACAAGGGTGGTCCACTTCCATAAGAAATATTCATAATTCATGAGAAGTGTTCGCCATCAATCTATTATTACATCTTAACCACTTGCTGACCAGGTGTTTACACCCCCTTCCTGTCCGGGCCATTTTTCAGCATTCAGCGCTGCAGTACTTTGACATTTATTCAGGACAAGAAACATTTATATTTACCCAAATTTTTGGTAAAATATAAAAGATGGGGTCACGTCGGGTAAACATATCAAGCCTTAAAATTGCACCCACCGATGAAATCGCAAAAAACTACCATACCTAAAATTGCCCACAGGCGGCCTTTAAAAGCTTTTACCCATCATCAGTTTAGCGTTATCAGTAATTAATGGCTCTAAAAATTGTTTGATGGAAACATTAGGGGTCTCTAAGACCCCTAATGTCACCTTGGGACCCCCAAATAAGCTGATGAAACAGAGATCTGCTTCACCAGCTTCCTCTCTGGCTATAGCAGCCAGAGAAATGACAGCTAAAGGCAGAAGTGATGTAATACACATCACATCCGCCTTCAAGCATCAGAGGAGAGATCAGCAGTGGGGGAATGCTGATCTCTCCTCTGTTGCTAGTGTAAGAAGCCGATGTGCCAGTCCCGGGCCCGCGGGGGGGACAGCGGAGCCTGGGATAACCGGCAGCGGCGGTGAAGGGGAGTGGTGGGAGCAGAGGAGGTGGCTGCCATCATACAAGCGATCAGACCGCTATAGAGCGGCCCGAACGCTTGTATGTCACAGCCGGTACCGGCTGTTAAAATAATTTTCCAGGATTCTGATTAGCGCAAAAAAAAATGCGCGTCCGCCGAGCGCCCGTGTATTTACAATGGGCGGTCGGCAAGTGGTTAAAATTGGGAATATTATGTTTTCTGTGTGAGCTTTGGTAGCAATAGCTTCTATACACACTGCAGTATTGTTGCACACTGTTGTGGTTTGAAAAATGAAGATTAATTATTGGTGCTGAAACCCATTGCTAGATGTTTTACTCCAATTGTTGCGTTCTCTGAGTAGCGCACTGCATACCCAGGTACTCCAGGCAGTCATAAAGCTCCGGCAATGGTAAATGAACAGACAGCCTATGCTGGATTATTGTGTGCTTTCATTCAGAGATGTTATATTTGTATCTGGTGTACACCTTACACACTTACCCACAGTTCATGCAGGGTGCAGCAGTAAACTGGCGCATGGCTCCACCATACAGTCATAAGGACCAGTGTTGGTGGACTTTGTGCTTGTTTTGGTGGTATCAGCTTGGCATCAGTTTGAGACACTTCTGAGATTATTTAGAATTAATTGGAGCATTTGGCCTGCAGTTGACCACCTTCAATAGAGCAGATTCCTCCATCAATGCTACCAGCGCGTTGCTCGCGGAATTCCCAAACAGAGCTGGCAGCTCATTGGCTGCTGGGTTTGTTCATAGGAAGACTTTCCAACTGGCTCCTTCGATCAGATGATCGATGGATTCCGGGCCAAAAAGGTGCTGAAAGCGGCACTCACTGTGCAGATTTCGTCCGCACATTGTATGGCCACCTTTTAGGATCCTCGAGTCGTCATGTTCTATACACAGTATATAGACGTGAGGATGCCAAGGGAAATTCCATTGCTGCCGTGAAGGAGGAGAGAGGCTGGAGGGAGTGCTGTCGCAGCCGGCATGTCCGAGTTCGGCTGATTATAACTAGGGTTGCACAGATACCAAGTACAGTACTCGGTACAAGTACGAGTACATGTACCGATACTTTTGAGCGCCAAGACTAGACTAGAGAAAAATTCAAAAATTAGGAGGCAGCTGTCATCTGTAAGGAACACACAGAGCTCCTGCGATTTGTACATCTCTGTTTTAATGTACGATTTTGTTTTTATAAATATAAATAAAGGGATGCGCAGATACCAGTTTTGTGAGTACGAGTACTGGTACTTGCCGAGTACTTACAAGTACGAGTACTGATACATTTTTGTTTATTGTCATGTGTCAGTTTTTGTAGTTCTCGTGAAAATGCCAAGTATCTGCACTGGTACTCGAAAAGTATCTGTGCATCCCTAATGATAACTTTATTTTCCTCCCTAGACCAAAATAAGCACTTAACCCTTGCAGTGCGGGGTTACCACCACTGCAAGGTTTTAAAAAACAATTGCCCGGAGTTCTGCTTTAATTTAATACAAGAGGTTAGCCAAACAAAGCCTTTATCAACAGGAGGTAAACAAGGTTACACTTCAACTAAAGATAACCTATTACTGTACTATTCACCTTACTTGTACCCACAAACATTACCAAGGAAAGAAAAATAATATATAAAGGTAATGAATGGCAGTGTGATGTGGCAGAAGATATAGAAATGGGTCACTGTGTAATGGCAAAGACTGTAAATGTATCATGAAAAGGATATCTGTTCTTGAAAAGTTGGCCCAATG